AGAAGTGCGTTTCCAAATATTTCAAAGAATGAATATTTGAAAATATATTGAGAGATTGTGCAATATTTTATTATTAATAAGTACAAGAAATGATTGGTATTTTAAATGATTATTTTTTTTAAAATTATATAATTATTTTTACTACGTTATTCTTCCTTGCAAACTCTGATTGCTTTGTGCATTATAAAATCCACATGCATATGATAATTTTTCATGAAAGGGTAATTTATTTCATGTTAATTAACATGCTTATTTAACCGTATTTTGGGTAACTTTTATTCAGAGAAATTGCTTTCGTAAAATATAAAAATCATGATTAGCAAATAATAGTACAGTCAATAGCCTTTAATCCGGAATTATCTATAATCCAGACCTCAAAGCTACAAACTTTCTGCGCATGCGTAAACGCATAATGCATTTGCCTTTATGTGTTTACACATGCACATAATCCGTTTACGCATGCATATTATACGTTTACGCATGCATATCATACTTTTACGCATGCGTTTAATCTATAACGGATGGTATAAGCTAAGTTAAAATTACCTAATTATCTATTTCAGTTAATGTTGCAGATTGCGTTGTTCCTTAATCTTTTAATTGGATCCGGCTTATTATTTTTTGCAGACTGTTAGAGCAATTTTATAAAAGCAAGCTTGAACTTTCGATTAAGTTCTGCGAGAGGGGGGAGAATGTTTGCGGCGCGCAATGAACTGGAAGTTGATCTGTCAGCACTATCCTTATCTTCAGGGCAGATGTTTTTATTTTATTCGGCTTATAATTCCTTACTAAATGTAGTATTTCATCTCGATGTACCCTGTCTTTGATATGATTTAAATCAAATTCCTCGTCGTTATAAATATCACGAATACACATCAAATAGTTTTCTGGTTGCAGTTTTCTAATTTCGAATATGCGTAATGTATGCTTTACGCATGTGCCCATTGAAAGAAATGTTTAATAAAGTAAACAAATAAATACTAAGCTTTTTTTTTTTTTTTTTTTGTAAATTTTGATACCCTTTAGATCATAATTGCTCTTTATTTCATAAATTACAGTTTTATATTTTGAATTTTATAACTTCTGCATGCGATCTTACCAGATTTAAAAAATGATCTATAATCTGGAAAAACCGATAATCCAGAATCGATGAAGTCCCGACCAGTCCGGATTAAAGACTTATGACTGTAATATGAAACAAAATGCTGCAACTCATGGAATTTCAAATGAAGTCTGTATTCTGTAACTTCTGTGACTTATTTTATTTATAACTAAATGAGAAACTTATTGAAAAATTTTATGGAAGTAGGTGACTGTTTTATGAATGAATTATAGCAATACATCATTACCTAACAGAAAAATTGGAAGTCAGTTTCTACCACTTTACTCTATTTAATTTTATACTTTTTATAGTTAATACATAATGTTATCTAAGGTGGTTGAAAAGTTGCAAATATTTTATTCAATAACTGTGAAAATTGTGAATAGCTATTTGTTTCAACTGATGACATCCCTGTATTCTCATAAGTTATATATCACTTGAAATTTTAGTTGCACTTTATATTTTTAGCTTTACATGGTTAGCTTATAGTTTGGTGCAAGAGAAAGATGAATTTTTCTCAAGCAGAAAGAGGTGTTTTTTTTTTTTTTTTTTTTTTTTTTTGGATTGCACATAAATTTGGTTCTTTATCACCCTCTTTGAAGGTGATTGCCATCTTTCTCACCCTCTTTGTTGGTGATTGCAACATTTTATTCCTGAACTTTGTCCATTTTATCTAAACACCAAAGAGATGGGCAGCCACTTTGCTTCTTATGATGAATTTCTCTAGTTTCTCAAAATCAAGTTATCAAGCAGAAAATTATTATCTTAAGTTTATGAACATTTGGGAAGTTCTTTTTAAATGCTTCAACAACTTTTCTGTAAAGAATGCATTTTGAAGTAATGCTCATAATGAAAATTCACTCTGCTGAGGAAACACTAATCTGTATGTTGCACCAGATGAATGATTTTTAAATCTAAAAGCATAAACCAGCGGTTCTCAACCTTTAGACTAATGCAAACCATCTAAACAAAAATTGAAAAACTTTAGTACCACCATTTTACAATGATTATTTTTCAATTTTACAATAGAAATATTTAAAAAATATATATATTTTGCCACCACCTATTCACTATTTATATTAAGTATGCACACATAAAAATATTATATTAAAATTGGTTGCCATTTTAATTATCAAAATTTAAGTTATAAAACTTTAATTCTAAAATTTAAGTGTGAAATTTGGCCTGTTTAAGAGAAATAAAATTCTTACTGTTGTTTTAACAGCAAATTAGGATCCTCTTTTAATTTTGTTATTATTTATTTTTCAAATATAACATGGAAGAAAATCCATGCTCACACAAACAGGTTGTGCAAAAAAGCAATAAAAATTTAATAGCTTTATTTGAAATGCCTTTAAATGCTCTCTTCCCCCCCCCCCTCCCGGTTCGGCCAAAAGCTAATAAGTGTGTTATTTTTGAAATCTTCAGTTAGAGTTTCATCACAGAAAATTTCTATCAATTGTTCTTTTTCTTCACAAAATAAAATTTCAGGCACATTTGAACAAAATGGATTTCTAATCCAATTTCCTTTTTCACAATCCTCAGGAAAATACACATTGAAATTATTTATTAATGAAAACAATGATTTTTAACATCAAATTCTAATTCTTCTTTTATTTTCAAATTATTTTCAGTTAGAAAATTTTCTAAAAACGGTAAAAAGCTTAAAATATTATTATCCAATTCTTTGATTACTAGCTCAAGATCTTTTATCACTGCATTTATTGTATCTCTAATGGTAAACAAATTAACACTGTCCTTATAGTCCTAAATTTAATTCATTTAACATTCGAAAAATATCAGCTAAATATGCTAAATGTGCCTACCATAATTCACTAAATAAACAATTTTTCAATTCAAATTTTGAATCACAGAGAAAAATTTGAATTTCTGATTGAAGTTCAAAAAGCTGATTTAAAACTTTGCCTGTGGAACATAACAAAAGCATTTCATGTTCACTGTCCGTCTCTTAGCATAAAACCATAAATAATCTTGAATTTTAAAGTTTGACTTTTAATACTATTAACAGTTTTTACAGCTTGATTCAAAACAATTTTCAGGTTTTCGGGGATTGTGCTGTCTACTAAAGCATCAGAATGAATGGAGCAGTGAGTAAATTTAGTTTCAGGTGCAACTTTATTTGAGAAATAACACCAGAATATTTTCCTGTTAAAGATCAAGCTTCCTTAAGCAATGCACTTATTCCAAGGAATATCATTCTCAGACATAAAAATGGGAATTACTTTGAAAATTTCATTTGCAGTTAGTTGCTCTGTCATGGAGAGATTCACAGATAAATACTCTTCAGCAATTTGTTTAACTTCTTCGAAACGTATGTAAACTAATAATTGAACAAAGTTCATTATATCAGTACTTTCATCCAGTTGCAATGTGAAATACTCAGTGTGTTTTATTTTTTGAATAAGTGACTCTTTTATGGAATTTGTCATTTCATGAATATGTCAACTTACCATATCATTTGATAATGGAATATTATTAGGTTCATTAGCCAGTTTTCCATTGAATAATGTTAAAGCAATATCGTTAGCTGCTGGTAATATAAGGTTTTCTCCAATTGTGTGAGCCTGCTTACTCTTGGCAATTCTTAGGCTTACTAGTTAACTAGCTTCCAAAGCTTTTTCACTTGAAGTAACAAAACCTTTCATTAATTCTTGAACTCCGATAGTTTCCTCTTAAAATATTTTTCAGATTTATCCTTTAAATTGGCATGCTTTGATTCAAGATGTCTTTTAAGAAACGATGGTTATACATTGATTGGATAAAACAAAACATTGAGGTTGAGGATCCATTTTATCTCCATTCCATGTAAACACAGATGCTAAATAACTTTCATTATAATTTCTATAAACAGTTTTTCCTTTCTTTTTAATATTCATAGGGCTAGTTGATTGTCCTGGCTCCATCACTTGTGAATCATCACTTTTTCGCTTACTCAAACCTAGCTATTTTTCCATTTTTAAAAATTTAGGTTTCTTTTATTATTTTTTCAGAAATATTTAAATGCATAATATATTACGAGTTCTTCAAAAACAACCGAAGACATTCTCAAATCACACAGAAAAGTGAGGAATACAAAGCAACAAGAAGACAAAATACCTGCTGTTAGAAACAGCAAACCAATGTCAAGTCAAAAAATGATTCTAATTGAAAATAGAGCAATATGAGCCAAAAATGGTGGCGATATAATGTGTAGGCATGCTAATAAATCGATCAACTCTAAAAGAATTAATGAGATGCTATTATCTTTTTATAGGAACTTATTTTTATTTCTTATTAAATAAAACATTCATTTCTATTATTTCTTGTAAAAACTTTAGTTAAGACAAATTTTGTTATGTGTATGGCTAAAAGAATATTTGGGAAAATAAAAATGGATTATTTTTAAGTCCATGTGTGGGGCTATTAACCTTGAGCAAAGCTCAGACCACATAAATTTACAAGTGTTAGAAAAAAAATTTTAACAGAATGTTGGGGTATTTAATTTTTTAATTTAATAGTTAAAAAGTTTCTTTGCATACCACCTATTTTTCTCCTGCATACCACCTGTTGAGAATCGCTGGCATAAACTGTAATTAACTTGTAACAGTATAGACATTTCACCCATCGAAACAATTTAACATTAATATCCATTTTGAAATTTCTGCAATTTTTGAAAATCTTAAGTGCATCTTTGGATCACACTGTGTTCATATAACTGCAGTTAGTAAACAATTTTAAAATGAAATATGAAATGCATACATGATATATAAATATGAACTGGCAGAATACTTTTTGTATGGAAAGATTGCAAAATTAGGAAATATATTTAAATTTTCGAACTGATATTTATTAATAATTCAGGAATTTAAATACATATGTATTTTTCTCTTACCCTTAGATGTGTTTGATGTCTACCGGAAAAAGAAAGTAAGTTATGTTTCAAAATATTGCTTATTTAATTACCTAGATCAGGGGTCGGCAACCTTTTGAGTCGGAAGAGTCAAAAATTACAATTTACAAAATTTCAAAGTTTTTAAAGAGCCACAAATTTTTTTATTGCCAACAATAAATAATACTCGCATAAATAAAGTTTTTTGATTAAAAGAAAACTAATCTATTTATTCATAAGAAAAAAATATCTATTTATTCATATATAAATAGTGTTTTTCACAACAAATTAGATAATATATATAGGGCATTATCAGATAATTACTCATCATTTAAGTAAAAAATTAAAACAATTAAGCATTTACTTACAATACTAACATGTACTTCAATAACAATTAATTGAGCAAACAAAGTCAATGGGAGCGATGGCTTTGCATGGTTATTCAAGTAGAAAATTTAAACTTTACTAAACAATGTAACTTGTACTTAAAAAAAAAAAAAACCAATAACATACATTTGAGCAAACAAATTCAATGGGAGTGTTGGCTTTGCATGGTTTTAGAAAGTTGGGATAAATTTAGCTCACAACTTCTTGTTTTAAGTTTCAAACACGACTCTAAATTTTTATTTGTTAATTGGCTTCTTACTGTACTTTTGATTATATTCATGCAAGATAATGCTTGCTGGCAGGAATATGTCAATCAGAAGATAGTCAGCACTCCATATGCTAACTTCTTCACCTCACTGTAGCAATCTGGAAGACTATTCCATGCGTCAAATATAAGTACCTCAACTCATGGCATTTCTTTTAAAGCTGTCCACTTTTATTGCGTTACGTACATATATTTCTGGACCTCCAATTCTTCTAACTTGCTTTTCATCTCTGTAAATTTTCCACTCCACAAAGCTTTACTTTTTAAATCGATCAATTGCATTTCTAGAGATCCAGTATCAATTCCAAATGGCTCAATGTGGATTTCGTTACTATTTGTGTTGAGAGGATTTACTATGAATGCTAGAGTGATTTTGATGGTTTTGAATTGCTCAAATCTGTCAGCAAATTCATCTTTAATTTTTTTTTAATAACTGTGCTGAAGTAATTCGTGTCAACAGTTGCACTGGTTTTATCGCGATATTGCTTTAGAAATTGAAAATGAAGTAATTTACCGCTCTGAATATCTTCTGCAAAAAGAATTCAATTTTTCTTCAAAACAAACCAATTCTTCTACCAAAACATAGGCTGGGTTTCCCTTTCCTTGCAGTTTTAGATTCAGCTCATTTAATTTCGCTGTGACATCCACCATAAAGTAAAATTTTTGCAATCATTTGTCATTCTGTAATTCAGGGTGATTAATGCGTTTTTCATTTAGGAATGTATTTATTTCATTCAGGCACAAAGCAGAATATTTAACATCTTTCCTTTGGAAAGCCATTGCACTTTATTGTGAAGAAGGAGGTCGGAATACTGAGTCTCCATTTCGTTTAAGAATTCTTTAAACTGACAATGGTAGAGTGCTTTTGACAAGATGCTGTTAACAATCTTGATTACCAAATTCATGACCTCAACTATTTCTGCTGGAAATGTTTGGCCACAAAGCACTTGGTGTATTATGCTGTGAAACGTAAGAATTTTTCATTTATTTTGCTCTGAAAAATCGTTGTTGCCCCTTTATTTTTTTCTGTCATACTTCTGACTTCATCAATTGCTATTGAAACGATTTTATTTAAATCGATCTTATTGTCTTCAAGGCATTTTTGCACAGTATTTGCTGTATCTTCCCCTCTATTTTGTCCCGAGAGCGGTAGCAATCCTATAAGTTCTTCTTTTAGGTCTGGGGAAGACATACACCTGACAAAAAGGGCAACTTGTGTCATGTTGCAAGACTCATCTATAGCAAGTGATAAGGCAGAAAAAAGTTGAATATCTTCCACCTGCAAATACAGTCAAAAGTCGTTAATTCGGACACCCATAATCCGGAATGATCTATAATACGGACCTCAAAGTTACAAACTTTATGCGCATGCGTCGTGTTGACGCATGCACGTAAGACCTTTACTACTGCGAATTTGCGCGTGCGCGTGCGCAAAATACGTTTATGAATGCGCCTTTAATGTATAACGGACGGGATAAGCTAAGCTAAATTATCTAATTATCTATTTCAGTTAATGTTGCAGATTGCGTTGTTCCTTAATCTTCGAATTGGATCCGGCTTATTATTTTTTGCAGACTGTTAGAGCAATTTTATAAAAGTAAGCTTGAACTTTCGATTATTTGAAATAGAATTTCCGATATATACTTACTAATATGTAAAGGATATACAAAGCGAAAGTATCTTTCGGAGTCCATTAAACAAAAAGTGGAATTGCTGCAAAAAATGGATAAAGGCATATCCTTTGTTTATCTAAACTTTTGTTTTCTAAACTTTGTTTATCTTTAACGCCGCGGAGCGCAATGAATTGGAAGTTGATCTGTCAACACTATCCTTATCTTAAAGGCAGATGTTTTTATTTTATTTGGCTTATAATTGCTTACTAAATGGGGTATTTCCTCTCGATGTACTCAGTCTTTGATATGATTTAAATCAAATACCTCGTCATTATAATTCGCTTCCGATAGCGAAGAAAGTGACAGAGGTTATTGAAAACGAAAAAATTTCGATTGACAAATTAGTCGGTATTCTCGACACAGCAATTATAGGACTTGAACAGCGGAACTTTGTAACTGAACAAGAAATTATGTCTGTTTATGGAATTAAAGAGAATGTATTATCACATAAAAAACGAAGCAACTTAAACAACTTACATTGAAAGAAATGTTTAATAAAGTAAACAAATAAATATTAATTTTTTTTTTTTGTGTGTGTGTGTGTGTAAATTTTGATACCCTTTAGATCATAATTGTTCTTTATTTTGTAAATTATGGTTTCATATTTTTAATTTTATAATTTCTGCATGCCATTTTACCAGATTTAAACTGATGATCTATAATCCGAAAAAATCGATAATCCGGAATCGCCGAAGTCCCGACGAGTCCGACGATTAACGACTTTTGACTGTATGTTACATTTGAAGACATTTTAGCTATCTATCTTGTGCTGTTTAAGCAGATGGTGGTAAATCTTTGATTTTTTTTCAAGATTTATGGTTTGTTTTTGAAATCACAAAACAGTGCTTCAGATGCACGTATAAAGCAATATTTGACATACTCACCATCTGTGAATGGTTTGCTTTTTTTTTTTTTTTTTTCCAATTTCTAATGATACCGCGAAGCTTGCCAGATTAACATTACTTGTGGATTGTGTCCAGTTACTTAACATGGAACTTGATTGCTGTTTTTGTTTTTGGAGCTCATCGATAGCTTTTTGTCTTTCGTTCTTCGCCTGCTGGATATTTACTAGCAAACTGAGTATGTTTTTTAGTGAAGTGTCTCTCTAAATTTGATTTCTTATTGTGTGCGAGTTTTTTGTGGCAAATGAGACAAGTCGGAAGGCCATCTGAGTTGCATACGAAAGCGAATGACTGCGTCCAATACCGATTGAATTCTTGATGCTCTTCTTCAGTTCTTCTTCTTCTTCTTGTTTTTATTTTATTTTATTTTTTTATTTGGGATAAAATAAATAATAGTTGCATATGGAACTAAAGAGCCGCAGGTCTGCCATTATTTGGGATAAAATAAATAATAGTTGCGTATGGAACTAAAGAGCCGCAGGTCTGCCAACCCCTGACCTAGATATTAGTTTCCATCATTACTATAATATAAAATATCTAGAATGATTTTATATGCTGTTTAGTTACCTTACTTTTTTCCCCTATCAAATTTTTAAATTGATAATTTTTAACATGGAAATACACAAGAAGCATAGTGTCCTGATCTTATTAAAATGTGCATGTAATATTGTAATATTGTTGCTTGCATAGGAATTCGAAAATGCATTGAATGCAAAAGAGTTAATAAAATTTATTCTTATCGCAAAAATAAAAACAAAATGCTTAATTTTCCTCAGAGATCACAATAGCACAATCTCACGTTATATTTTTAAACTACTAAAACATTCAATAGAACTAAAATTAAAAAATTCAGAGAAAGCTCACCGCGAATTCACTACAATCAACCACAAAAACTAAGTAAACAACTAAATTGAGATTTTTTCCTCCAGATTTATATTTTTTAATCCTGCACAAGAATATTCTGGTATTTTCTCAACTTTTCTGGATAGCAAAAGAGTTCAATTACGAATTTAACAGTAACTTGAACAGCTTTCATCTCCCTTTTAACGTATACTTGATCAGCAGCTTTCATTTTTGAGTGGTCCGCTTTCATTTCTTCTTTAACTGAGTTGACGGTCCCTTCCATCTTTTCTTGGAATGCAGCAAATGCAGTCATCAACTGCCTCATTTGTTCTTCCGTCGCTCTTGTAATTGGCATTCAATATCCCACTTCTGACACCAAAAAGTGTTGCTTGCGTACAGGTTCGTAATGGATTCAATGCACAAAATGATAAAAAGTTAATAAAATATATTCTTATTTCAAGAATAAATACAAAAATCTTAAATTTCCTCAGAGATGTTCATACAATATCGCAGTATCTCACAGTAGTTTTATTTTTAAACTACTAAAACGTTCAATAGAACTCAGTTAAAAAATACAGAGAAAGCTCACCATAAAGTCGCAGCTTTTATAAGCGTTTTAATCCTACACAAGAATATTCTGATATTTTCTCGATTTTTCTGGATAGCAAAAGAGTACAATTATGAGATATCTATTTATTAAAATGTTAAATGTGTGTGCTTCTGTATTTTAATTTTTCTGGCGTATATTTCTCTTTGCGTGGGAATGTAAAACAATTTTTATTACAAATTCTACTAAAAATAGGTAAATAAGTACAAAAATCGTATCAATATATATTTGTATATAATGCTATAGAAGAGTTGAAAAATTTTTAATAATAATTTTAAAGCTTTTTCAACTCTTTTATTTAGTAAGTTCTTTTTAATCACATTCCAGTTTTCTTTTGTGTCATGTAGTTAAGTACTTCATTCTTGATAACTGATTGATTGATTGCATCTCTTTCCTCTCCAGAGCCATTAATATAGTAATATTTGCTATGGCTCTAATCAATTATAATAGTGTGTAAAAATTTTTAAACTTTTGTTGAATAAACCTTCCAACAGAGAATAATGTTGCAGAGATTAAAAAGTCAGAAAAGGGAGAAACAGCATAAAATTATACAGCTAGTTAAGGAAGGTAATTGCTTCTTACTTTTGATCACTAGATATAGTGATCTAAAACTCTTATCTCTACATTTTTATAGGAATATATCTTTCTGTGAATGCTTATAGCTTTAAGATGAATGAGCTTCATCTTAAAGCTTTACTGCTGAGAAATAAAAATGGTATGCTGGTGCTTGGAAAAAAAAAAAAAAAAAAAAAGATTTGCACAAATTCTCTATTAATTGAATTCAGAATTAAGTGTCATTGTAACAAGTGCAGTAATTTAACACTGGTTTACTTTTGTGATGATTGAAATTCATTTTTGGGTGATATTTCATATAATTAAGATTAAAAATTTATGCTTGTATCATCAAAATTATTGGCCAATCCTCAGCTGTCTGTGCTAATCTGGAATTAAATTTTATATGTTTTATTTTAAAAAATTAATTTCAAAAAATTGGAAAGAGAAGTTTAATTGTAAGTGGATTATTTACAGAATGAGGTTAATTTTTATTCAACATCTTTGTTACAGTGATCTTTTTCAGAATAATCATTAATGCATTTCCATAAGCAATTCTCCAAGTCAGCAGCATATACTCAGACTTCAGAGTGCCAGGAGTTCTTTTGAAATGGCCTCACTTCGCAGCTTGAGAAACTTCCCAGAAACCTCTGTTTTTAAATTTTTCCTAGAATCTAATACTTAATCTATTTATTATCCACATTAAGTGACTGTAATCTAATGCTGAATTGTTTTTTATGTGTTTAATATATTAGATTTAAATCACCATATGCATTAAAAGAAGTAATGTAATATTTTAATTTAGGATCATGTTTACTTGGTAGACTTCAATCCATTTGGAACTGTTACTGAATCATTACTTTTTGACTGGGATGAATTAATTATTGGAACAGTTGGAACAAATGGCACCAGTGTATGTATTTATGAATTTCATTTCTCATTATATAATAGTAGCAAAAAGGTAGGCATTTTTATTAATGATTATCTGCAGAATTAAAATGAAGCATATTACATAGAGTAATTTCGTTTTATTTTTTTATTGATTATTATAATGTACCTTTAATTATAACGAAGGAAGTAATGCCACAGTTTTCTGTTTCATTCTTATAATCTTTTTCATCCTTCATAACTATATTTTATAAATCTTGATTCCGTCACAAATGCTGAACATTAATTAATCTTTCTTTTGAATGAAAGATAATGTGAATGATTATCTGCTGTTTAATCCACTTTGATAAAGTCATTCCATGTAGTTAGATTAGTGGTGAACAAACAGCAAATCTTACAAACTTCGGCATATGACCTGATCTTTTGACAATAGGGCAGATGTTATTCTCTAGTTATATGAACATACTGTTTGACATGGTAATTAAAAAACTGTAAGGTAGTCGAGAATATTAATAGACCCAAATAATTTTAAAACTGTATGGTTTGTTTACTCGGTATTTGCTGAACTCTGGAAATTTTCAGAACTTGGAAGTTTCTTTAGATTCAAATTATCAAAGAACTTGAGTTTTTTAAAATTCTGTTATGTATTTATCTTAAGATTTGGATTAACACCAGTAATTTAACATTATGTTTAGAGAGATCAAGAAGAATTTTTTAAGGTTAAATTTCAAAAAATAAAAACATATCCAAATTTGAATTGGCCATGTGTGACTGCAATGATTGTTTTTTTTTTAAGCAATTATTTTTGAAGAAATTTTAAATGTCATTTCTGGGAAAGATTGTTTAATTTTTTTATTCCCTTCAAAATTTTTAATTTATATTTATTCCCTTCATTAATTATTTATAATATATTATAATTATATTATTTGATTTTTTTTTTTTTTTTAATTCCAGCTTCCGGAGTTTAGATATGTGGATGATGACCGTGGTGTTCAACCAAGACCACTAAGTTACCATGCAATACCCAGAGATATTGTAGATATAAGTACGGGTGAAGACAGTTTTAAATTAGTAGATCTAATTAAATTAGTGAGTATCATTTCATTAAGTTAACAATGATAGACTGAAGTTCTCTATATATAATTGGTATAGCATGTGAAGAAAAATGAAAGAAATAAGTTCGAATAAGCTGGTAGCTAAACCATTGCAGCATTATTTAGCAGTAATTTAAAATAAAATAAAAAATCTGAAAGGATTCAGATTTTAATGATCGTCCAAAAAAGCTGTCGTAAAGTTTAATGTGGTTTATCAGTGGAGATTATTAATAGACACGGCCAGGTAGAATAGTGAAACATTTTATATGGTAGAGGAAATACACATTCAGACTAACATGGGAACATTTTTATCTTCTGTGTATCTGAAAAGTAAAAAATTATATAAGTGAATTCTTTAAAAATATGTGTTTTTAATTAGGTATATCATCATGCATTTTTATTTAAATCAATCAGATAAGAAATTTAAAAAAAATAATATTCTTAAGAATTATATCTGTTGCTTTTATAGTTTTTTTTTTTCTTTGTTATTGCTTTTATTAGTTACTATAGCTTATATTTTGACTACAGTCAAAAGTCTTTAATCCGGACTCATCAGGACTGCAACGATTCCGGATTATAGATAATCAGTTTAAATCTGGTAAGATGGCATGCAGAAATTATAAAATTAAAAATATGAACCATAATTTATGAAATAAAGAGCAATTATGATCTAAAGGTACAAAATTTACAAAAAAAAGCTTAAATTTATTTGTTACTTATAAACATTTTTTCACGCGCGCATGCATAAATACATTACGCATAGTCGAAATTAGAAATTGCAAAAAGAAAACTTTTGATTGTATTTGTGATATTTATAAGGACGGAATTTGATTTAATCTATCAAAGATGGAGTAATCGAGATGAAATACTACATTATAAGCCAAATAAAAAAAAAAAACATCTGCCCTGAGATAAGGATAGTGCTGACATATCAACTTCTAGTTCATTGCGCGCTGTGACGTCCCCTTCCCCCGCGCAGAGCAGCGTGAAATTGATAAACAGATTTCGGAATGGTTAGAGAAACAAAAGAGCCTTTAAACATTTTTTGCAGCAATTCCACTTTTGTTTGAGAACATCGAAACATGCTTTCCGTTTGTATATCCAGCATCAGAAATTCTATTTGACATAATCGAAAGTTCCAACTTACTTTTATAAAATTGCTCTAACAGTCTGCAAAAAATAATAAGCTGGTTCGAATTCGAAGATTAAAGAACAACGCAATCTGCAACATTAACTGAAATAGATAATTAGATAATTTAGCTTAGCTTATACCGTCCATTATTCATTAAACGTGCATGCGTAAAGGTATTACGCGAATTGCGTTGCCGCACGCACAACGCATTTCCGGTGGCGCATGCGCAGAAAGTTTGTAGCTTTGAGGTCCGGTTTATAGATCATTCTGGATTATGGGTGTCCGGATTAACGACTTTTGACTGTATTACTTTTAATAGTGCTTTAATAGTTTGTTGTACAATAAACAGATTAAATTTGAAAAATAATTGTTATAACACTTTGCCAAATGTCAACAGATTTGATTGACAAGTGAAAGAACACATTTAAAGTGAATCCATGCAAGATCGTGTTTCGAGACTAGTAACATTTTTGGAAATACAGTCAAAAGTCGTTAATCCGGACTCGTTATCAATTTTTCCAGATTATAGATCATCAGTTTAAATCTGGTAAGATGGCATGCAGAAATTATAAAATTAAAAATATGAAACCGTAATTTATGAAATAAAGAACCAATATGATCTAAGGGTTATCAAAAATTTACAAAAAAAGAAGCTTAATATTTATTTGTTTACTTTATTAAACATTTCTTTCAATGTAGTTGTTTAAGTTGCTTCGTTTTATGTGATAATACTTTCTTTTTAATTCTAAACAGACATAATTTCTTGTCAGTTACAAGTTCCTGTTCAAGTCCTATAATGCTGTGTCGAGAATACGACTAATGTCAATCGAAATTTTTCGTTTTCAATAACCTCTGTCACTTCTTCGCTATTGGAAGCGAATTATAATGACGAGGAATTTGATTTAAATCATATCAAAGACAGAGTACATCAAGATGAATACTACATTTAGTAAGGAGTTATAAGCCAAATAAAATAAAAACATCTGCCTGAAGATAAGGATAGTGCTGACAGATCACTTCCAATTCATGCGTGTGGCAGCGTTAAAGATAAAAGTTTAGATAAACGTTAAGTTGGGTAAACAAAGGATATGCCTTATATTTTTTGCATCAATTCCACTTTTTGTTTAATGGACTTTGAAAGACCTTTCGCTTTTTAGATCCTTTACATATAGTAAATATATATCAGAAATTCTATTGACATAATCGAAAGTTTCAAGACTTTTATAAAATTGCTCTGACAGTCTGCAAAAAATAATAAGCCCAATCTAATTTGAAGATTAAGGAACAACGCAATCTGCAACATAACTGGATTATTTTAGCTTAGCTTATACCGTCCGTTATACATTAAACGTGCATTCGTAAACGTTTTTTGCGCACGCGCACACAGATATTCACAGCCGTAAAGGTCTGCGTCAACGCGACGCATGCGCAGATAGTTTGTAGCTTTGAGGTCCGGATTATGGGTGTCCGAATTAACGACTTTTGACTGTAATAAACAGTAAATTTTAAAGTGTGCATTAGTTACATTCACTGCTTGGTTCCTCTTTTTTTTATCCCACAGCATTGTTTCAGTGGAATATGAATTAAAATTTACTATATATCTATTTGATTTTGTATATAGTATACACAACATTTAATATATGGGTTACCAAAGTTTTTTTTTTTTTTTTTTTTTTTTAAATCCCTCCTTACTGCTAGTAATGGAAATTCTCGTTCCTCATCCTCAATAATAATATTACTTACCTATAGGGTAGTGAGAACAAAAAACATAAGGTTTCAATATAGAAGTTCACACACACATTTGGCATAAAAGAAACAAATAAATCAATGAATTTGTTATTTTCAACAAAATTTTCAGTTGTTGTTGTTTGAACTGAAGAAAATATGCAACATAAATCTCTAGCAATACTGAGTTTGTATCTCTGCTTTTTTTTTATTGCTACAATTGCTGAAAACATTTTTGCACACAAATAAGTGCTTGAGAATGGTAAATACAGTTTCAGTGCTTGCTCTGCTATGCTTGGATAAATTTTGAGATATTTTACCCAAAATAATAGCTTATCCAATTTCACAAGTCATATTTGGCTGCAGAATCATTTTTAATTTGCAAAGCTGGCTCTTGTAGTGTTTCTGGCAGCCCATCTTTGTCAACATGAAAAGGATCCATCGCCATTCTGTAAATGCCATTACAGTCAAAAGTCGTTAATCTGGACTCGTCAGGATTTTGGCGATTCCGGATTATAGATCATCAGTTTAAATCTGGTAAGATGGCATGCAAAAATTATAAAATTAAAAATATGAAACCGTAATTTATGAAATAAAGAACCAATTATGATGTAAAGGGTATCAAAAATTACAAAAAAAGAAGTTTATATTAGTTGTTTACTTTATAAACATGATTTCAAGTAATTGTTTAAGTGCTTCATTTTTGTGATAATACTTTATCTTAATTCTATAAACAGACATAAGTTTTGTTCAGTTACAAAGTTCGTGTTCAAGCCTATAATGCTGTTGTCGAGAATACCGACTAATGTCAATCGAAATTTTTTATTTTCAATAACCCTGTGGCACTTCTTCACTATCGGAGCGAATTATAATGACGAGGAATTTATTTAAATCATATCAAAGACGGAGTACACGAGATGAAATGCAACATTTAGTAAGGATTAAGCCAAATAAAATAAAAACATTGCCTGAAGATAAGGATAGGGCTGACAGATCAACTCCAAATCATTGTGCCGCGGCGTTTCCCCTTCCTCCGCCGCAGAGCAGCGTGAAATTGATAACAGATTGGAATAATTAGATAAACAAAGGATGCCTTTATCCATTTTTGCAGCAGTTTTACTTTTTGTCTGATGGGACATCGACATATTCGCTTTGTAGTCCTTGGGAGCTCCAGCATCAGAAATTCTATTGACATAATCGAAAGTCAAGTTACTTTATAAAATGCTCTAACGTCTGCAAAAAAATAAGCTGGATCCAATTTGAAGATTAAGGAACAATGCAATCTGCAACATTAACTGAAAAAGATAATTAGATAATTTTAGCTTATACTGTCCGTTATACATTAAACGCGCATGCGTAAATGTATTATGCGCATGCGCACACGCATATGTGCAGCCGTAAAGATCTCACGCGACGCATGCTCAGAAATTTTGTAGCTTTGAGGTCCAGAATATGGGTGTCTGAATTAACAACTTTTGACTGTATTACATGAATTAGGAAATTACCATTTGAATTTGTCAGAAGTGCTGTAAATGATTTGGTATTTTATTCTTAGTTTTTGTATCCTTCAAAACTTCCTTAAAGTGTACTTCTTCCAATGTTCCAGATAATTTGGGAAAGCTGGAATAATTGCAGGCTAAAATTTTATGTTCCTAGAGCTGTTTCTTATCAGTATATATTGTGAAGGTAACCCGATAATAAATTATGTTTGAATTTTCTCTTGTGATTTCAAGTTCAGTGAGTTCAATGTACCGAAAATACCTTACAAGCCAATACAACTGGCACTTTGGGAATTCCTTTTATAATTCAGTTTGATTTTGAATTTCCAAAAACTAAATCACTTCATCGCAAGGCTCAAATAATCATGCATCTTGCTACCTTTCGAGAGCCAGCATAATTTTAACTGAAATAACAGTGTTTTCGTAATATAAATTACACAAATATTCATAAAATGCTGTAAAAAGTAGAGTATTTAATTACTGATTTAATTGTTTTAATTACTAATTGAATTGAAGCCCAACTAAGACTCAAGCACAGCATGGCAGGATAACGCAAGTGTTGCATTGTGTGCAGGCAGCAAAGTACAACTTGCCCAACTGTCATTCCTTTTATATGTTGTCCCACTCCCGAAGGGTGTTGCATTTTGAAAATCAACGATTTAGTTTATAGTACATACATTGCTATAAACGAATAGAGATTTTTATATTTGTTTTATACAAATAGAGAATATTTGTTAAATATTTATTATATATATTATATATATGTAAGTTGAATGGTATGTAAATCACACTAATGACATTAATTTGCAAGTCTCTTAACTCTCCATTTAAATTTGATTATTTCCCTTTTTTGTCATAAAAATAGTAATTTATTATAATAAAACTTTTTAAATTGTAGAATTTCAAAATTAATTAATGTTTGCTTAATTGTAATGATGCAGGCTCTTCCATAAAGACTTCATCCAGTAATAATAATTGAATCTTAAATATCCAATCCAGATAAAGCAAAGTGATGCTAACTATTTGTTTTGATACTTACTCATTTTAGGAACCATAACTCTTCCACCTGGAGTTTAATTGTTGGAGTACATCAAACTTCTGCTCTCACTTGCTGTCCTCTTGCTACTTACTTTGTTATTCATGCATCATATTCTCATAAAATGCAGACTAGATGGAAATATAATCAGGATGGGTGCACAGATCGGGCCCATTATGATATGTAATTTATATTAGGAATCTCCTTCTTAAGAACAGAGAAACGTTTGTGTTATCGGCTGTGATTGCAAGTTTCTGAGTCTTCTAAATTCAGTAAAAGTCCAACTATCTGGCTTTCAACGAATAAGAAAGCTCAAGTAACTGGAATATTTTAGAACTTAAGAAAATAAATAAATAAATAAAATAAAATAAAATAAAATTTTGTCATAAAATTGAATAATAAAAGATGGATAATCATTTAGAGCTTTCCTCTGTCACATGTGTACATAGTCGCCAAATAATATAACTTAGGGCCAATAATGGATAAACGTTACATCACAATACAATCATTAAAAAGTTCATTTTGGTTTATTGTAATTTGATTAAATCTGTATAAGTTGGTTTAGTTTTTGTAAAGAAGGGTGTAAGTTCTTTTATTTCTTGCATTTTGAAATAATTATTAATATTTGAGATTGCAAGAAGTGGACTATTTTCAAATTTACACGATCCAGGCTTCAAAAGAACCAAAATAGGCGACTTTGAAAACAGATAAACAATTATGTAAAAAATATCACAAGCCATTTTAAGCTTTTCATATGCTGTATCTATAATTTGTATCTCTTTGTTATCTAACTAAATGAAGAACGATATGTTGATTTTAACTTCTGCCAGAATAATTAGCTATATCTTTGCCAATTTTCATGTTCAGTAGGCTTTCATAATCGAATGAGACCTATGAAATACATCGGTTTTTATGACCAAAATATGTTTTCTTAACTCCCAAAAAATCTTAATTTGAAATGTAGGCGTTAGACATTCAAGTTGAGAACTAGTAATGTGATTGTTTCTATAATTTTAGAACAAAAAATTTCCCTTTAATTTGGCTTTATTAATGTGAATTCCATTTCTTATATGTTCAACTATCTGGAATTTTCACATATTTGGAATTTGGCATTCTCGAGCTTTCTAGCTGGTCAAGCTTTTACTGTATTACATATTTATACACATATACACCAGGTGATTCAAAAGTAATGCTCATTAAGCTCTTGAAAATTATTGAAATCCTTAAATTAATATTTATGGGAAATTGTTTCAATGAAAGACACCCCTGTGTACTGTTACAAGTAATATATCACTTGAAATTTCAGCTGCAGTTTATGCTGTTAACAGTTTTGAATTCTTCTGTGCATATGGATTTCTAATGGATTGAATGCACACAGAACCCATGATAGCTTGATTAAATTAATTTTTATAAAAGAAACACTTTATGGTTCTGGAACTTTTCACAAAAGTACCTGGATAGCTTATCACGGTATGATAAGAGCACAATCAGTAGTTACCACTTCAAACTACTAAGAATATTAAACACATTGCAAAGTGTATCTATCAAAGTATATCTAAAGAGTAAAGTTTGTACGGAGATCTCTCAATACTCTGGAGTCAAGTCTGAAATAAAAACTGAGAAATGTTCTCTCCAGGAACATAATAGTTTTCCAAGAACTTAGATAGTTCTCCCCTCAGCAGCCGAGATATTTCCAGTACCTTCCATTTCTCCAAAATTACTAGAAGTCATATAAAGTAGCATCTGAAAAGTGGTAAATTTGACAATCAGTCAAGCTCCTGTTTCACTGGCTCTACACCCTTTGTAAAGCGAGTAAAGAATTATTAATCTGCCACCCAGAAATTTTGGAGCCTGGGTTCATGCAGTCTACTGTTGCTTTATGACTTGAGAGACCTGCTGAGTTCATGTCTCCTAGACAGCATTAGAGAGCCCTAAAATGACTAGCAATGTAGTGTGGTCAAATGACACACAGAGCACATTAATAATTTAATTTACTTGATGCCCACTTGTATAACAGGTGCTATCTTTTCCAATGGCATATGTTTTGGGGTACTAATTTCTGCATGTTCTTATACCTCAAAATTTCTTGAAATTTTAATTGTTCTATCCTGCCATAATAATATATTTGTATATGATTCTGTTAGCTGTTTCCTTTTATTATTCTGTGTTATTTTTTTTTTTATTCTGTAGCAATTTTTAGTCCAATTGTATATTTTCCACTATGTGTCTTAATAGTTTTTGCTTTTATAGTATTTTCTTTGTATGCAAGTTGTGTGTGGTAAGCAGAATTTAAAATTTTAATTGTATAGAAAAGTAACTTAAAGCACTGAGGATGATTTTGATGACACTATAGGTAATTTGAGTGT